TGCTATATGGATTACATGACAAAAAAAACATAAGAATATACTCAACAGAAATAAGTTATTAGAAGAGTTTAAAACTGTTCTTATATACCACTGCACCTCACTTAGAATGGCTAACTTTAGAGACTTACAGTATGAAGTACTGACGAGTATGTGTACAACTGACAACTATCCATTGCTAGTGGAAGTTCAAAATGCCATGTTTTGGAAAATGGTTTGGCAGTTTTTTATACCATTGAATATATACTAATCGAATAAGCCAGCAATCACCTCTGAATTATATATCCATAAGAAATTATAAACGCAAAACATATTCAAATATTCATAGAGCTTTATTCACAATGTCCCCCATCTCATAAACAAGCTGTGCCATATCTTCACAATGGAACACATCTCCGCCATACAAAAGAAAGATCATTGATACATATAGCATGGATAAATCTCAAAAGCATTATGCAAAGTGAAAAAGGCCAGACACTAAAAGACTGCCTAATTTTAATTAAATGGATTCCTATAAAAAACAAAACTTGTGTCCGAGCATATCTCTTTGGTTGCTTGAGTTGGCACTGGAGCATTGCCTATAAGGGGACATGAGAGATCCTTTTGGGGATGAAGGAAATTTTCCAATCTTGCTGTGGTTCTGGTTAAATTGAATTATTTCTTTAGAATTGTTGAATTTTACGTGTAATTTTTACTTTAGTCAAGCTGTTAAAAATAGGAATGTGACTCTCTTATTTTAGCAAACATCTGAGTTGACTAACCAGTCCTATGTTTTTCTTTTAGCAAGAATTTTCTTGATGTTGTTTGATAGTCGGTTATTTTTTCTTTCTCTCTTGTAAATAAATAGTAGTTCGTAAATTATAATTCGTGAGGTTTTGTTATTTATTTTTTAAAATAACTCATGTTAAAATTTAGCCAGGTTGGAATTCTCTTATTGCCTTAAACTCTACCTTGATTTTGGAAGGTCGTATGCTTTGGGAAAATGACAAGTAATTTATCTCATTTTAATTTTCCAGATTTCCCCCCTGAGTTCAGTTCTGGTGACCCTTATGATCCTGACAAATTTTTTTACTTATGCTTTTTGACCTTACCTCAGTAATTCTCAGGGTCATTATATGTCTTACCACATTAATGGCCAACATTTATTGGCCATTTTTTATGTGGTGGATTCTGTTCTAATGGCTTCATACATTCATTTCTTTTAAGTCTCACAGCTATGTTGTAAAAGAAGCAAAATTATTTTTTTCCCATTTTATAGATGACGAAACTGAGGCATAGCAACTTGCAAGTTCATATAGCTAGCAGGTGAGGAAACAGGGATTTGACTCCAGGCGATATAACTGTAGCCTTTTCCCTGAACTGTCAATCTACTAATCCTCCAAAACAGAGATCTTGAAGTTTAGTGTCTGGGACAATCAGTTTATTTAAATTCTATTGTCAGATTTTCTCCCTTGCCCTCATGATTCTTATTTGGTGGGTTTAGGATGAATCCAGTAATCTGTATGTTTAGCAAGCACTCCAGGTGGTGGTTTGTTGAACCCAGTTTGAGAAACCCCTTTTTCTGTGACTTTAAGCTAAGTGTCTAACTTTTCTGGACCTTTGTCTCCTATCTAAAGGTGATGTTCTTTTAGGATGGAATGTGATGACTACTCCTGGCATGCAATTCATTCTCTAGAATAAGTTAATTTGCTTTTGTTGCTCTTGGTGTAGGTGTTATTTCATAGAATTAGTCAACAGTGGCAACTGTTTTCAACCCTATCTTTCAGGGAAATGATATTATCCAGGAAGCAAAAGGTGTTTCAAAGTGAAAAGACATCTTATTGAATGTAAATACTTTTTTTCCAATTTGATTATATCGGGAATTATAGCATGTTCTGCTCCAGCATATGTTTCTAAAATACCACCGAGCTCATTTGCAGTTGGTAAATAGAATTATGCTCGTATAATGTAGAAGTTGCATAGCCTTAACTATGATTTATTCTAGTCCAAAGGAGGCAGAATAGAGTTAAATTATAACCTTGGGCAGGAAAAGAAGTCCTCAAGTTTGATACTGAAGAGTCAACAGGAGCCCTTTTGGTTTTAAGAAAATTAAAAACAAAACAAAACAAACAAACAAACAAACAAAAACAAGTGTCTGTGCATTTGGGGCTCCCTGGCCAGAGGTACATACCCCTCGTCTTGTGTGGTTCTCAAATATTTGCAGACTGTACTGCCCCCTGTGCCTGTTTCACGGGCGAGCCTATTGGCTCAGTTTGCCTTCCACCTAGATTTTTCCCACCAATTCTAATAAAGTATTATCATCACTTCTTATCAATTGTATTTTTTTAAAACTCTGGGCTGGACTGCTTGCTTGGGTGGTCCAAATTGTCTTCCAAGGTACCAATACTATTTTTGCTAGTGATCTGTTCCCAAAGTTGCATGTTTTAGTGGTCTTCCCAGAACCTATTTTTCCCACAAGTTTTATTATTTTGGTTATGCCATTTTGTCTGCAATGTGGGGATTTCAAGATGCATATACATTTTTCTTAATGTTTATTTCTGAGAGGGAGAGAGAGAGAGAGGTGGAGACACAGAATCTGAAGCTGGCTCCAAGCTTGGAGCTGTCAACACAGAGCCTGATGCAGGGCTTGAACTCACGAACTGGGAGATCATGACCTGAGCCAAAGTTGGACGCTTAACTGACTGAGCCACACAGGCGCCCCACAATACATATATGTTCTTATTTACTTTAAACCCCTATTTCAGGAACATGAACATCTTCAGCTTTGCAGTATTTTATAGTCTTTGGAAGGGACAGTGTGTTAAATGGTTTGTTAATTATAAAGTAACTTACTTCCTCAGAGGGATCACTTCGTTTCTCATTCCCACTAGTGTATTTGTTTCTTATTATACCATTAAATCCCACTTGAGTTACTTTCTTTTTTAAAGTTGGCAAGATTTCTAACTCGTATTTGAATTTCTTCTATGCTTATATCAAAAGAACATATAAATTCAACTTCAGTTATTAGCTTTTATCTGTAAATTACTGCTTCTTACTTAAAGTTATTTAATATTTTATAGAGCTGGAAACAGTAGAGAAAGAAAATAATTGACTATAAAGAGGTGTTTTCTACAGTAATAGTTACGATTCTTGTAATTGCTACCATTTATTGAATGTGCATTAAATGTCCACTCATTTTTCTATGAACTTCTCTTGCAATATTACTAATTCTTAATATATTTAATGAATAGAACAGAGATTTTCTAAATAAAGAAAAAAATGAAGGGGCGCCTGGGTGGCTCAGTAATTAAGCATCTGACTTCAGCTCAGGTCAAGATCTTGAGGTTCGTGGGTTTGAGCTCAAGCTCAGAGCCTGGAGCCTGCTTCAGATTCTGTGTCTCCCTCTCTCTCTCTGCTTCTCCCCCACTTGCACTCTGTCTCACTCTCAAAAATTAGTAAACATTAAAAAAATAAAAAAAAAAAAGAAAAAAGGAGTCCACCTGTGTCTTTTAGATTCTTCAACAGAAACATGAGGAATATGAACTAAGTGAATTCTTATTACCAGATAGGAAATTGCTGTTGAAATCTCAACACCGTCACATAAATATTATGTTTATGGAATGACAGAGAAACTTATCTAAGTGCAACTACTTTACAGACGATAATGCATTCATGACAGATGTTTTCTTAAAAACGTACCCCTTGCTTTTGTTATAGTTCCTGACATGTTTTTTTTCCAGATATGGAACATAATCTAACCATAGTAAAATAATTTTATGGAGAGAAGCAGCATTATTCGTAGCCACAGAATATATATTTGGGTATTTATTACCTTAGGATTTTAGTTTGGACCTGAAGAGCTCAAATAACAGCATTATTTTAAGTTGTTTCTATGATGTTTTTTGAAATTACTCTAAGTAGTAAAGGCTCTTCCAGTTCCTAATTCTATGACTTTGGTCAGATTATTTAAGAGAATCTGAGTCTTGGTTATCCTTTCTATGTAGTGGAGAAGACAAGTGTGTGTTCTTGAGTCATTTCATTGGCTAAATGTGGTAATACATAAAGTACTTGGTCCAGTAACTGCTGTGTAGTACGTTCCACCTACATGGAATAGCTGTGAATTTTTTTTAATCACTATTGGTGTTAAATTTAGAAACAATGATTACTGATAGCAAATATGATTGCTGTCCATATTTACTGTGTTTTCATAACCTAGGCAGGTATAGTCTGCTGATTTAACAGCTTTGGCAAGTTGCACTATTGCATGAATTTAACTTGATTTCATGGGATAAAACAGAATGAGCACCGTGGTTCATGGCTGTCAGTAGTGAAAAATAGCTGGAAATCAGACAAACAGCTTCATTGCTGAGATTGTTTCCGGGCTAAAAGTTCTTCCAACAGCTGTTTGTTTTGGCCATTAATCGTGTTCATTCTTTTTTTTAAACTGGGGGAAATATGATTTTCTTTAAAAAGAGAAGATAGGCTGGTTATTTCTGAAGTCAGGAAGGACTCCTGTCCTTCCACTATTGTGGTCTTTTGGCTGCCTTGACAGTTGGACTGAGGACGTTTCCTTTTGTTTCTCTCCACTTCTTTATTCTCAGTGCTCAGACTCAGACTGCCGTGGTAGGAGGGAAAAAAAGCAGGAGCTCTTTAATCCTAGAGAAGGAGCTTTGTAGCAGTTACCTTCAAGAAAAGTTTACTCCCCAAAGGAGTATTTAATATTACATAGACACTGACTCACTGAACAGAGAGAGAGAGAGAGAGAGAGAGAGAGAGAGGTTGAGAGAGAGATGAGAGAATATGAGAATTCAAGCCAGCAAGAAAGAAAGATACTTAACTGAAGATGAAGGGAAGTTTTGCCTCTTCCTGGAAGTTATATTATTAGGTTTTTTTTTTTTTTTTTAAATCATGATGACTGCTAGTTTTGTTTAAAGTATTTGTTCTGGAAATACTAAAGTTGGAGTCTACCAGACTGAGGTTAGAAGCATTTTCTTTGGCAGCAAGAAGATACTTTTATAGAAGCCATGCCTGTACTTGGGGTTGCCTCAAAACTGAGACAGCCAGCTGTTGGGTCAAAGCCTGCTCATACTGCTCTTCTGATACCAAATCTTGGCACTACTGGGTCACAGCCCTATTCTTCAAGACCTTTGGAACTTACTGAACCGGAGAGCTCAATGCTTTCTTGTCAGCTCACATTAAAAGCAACCTGTGAATTTGGAGAGAAGAAACCCCTCCAAGAGAAAGCTAAGGAGACAGAAGACAGTAAGGTTAGTGGCTGAAGGTTACTTGAAGACTTTTGAATGCAAATTTCCTTTTAGGTGGGATATAAAGCCTGTTGTGAAATGGGGATTGGTAGAGGAAATCCGGAGTAAGAAAGTAAGTAGTTTGCATGACTGAACAGCTAAATATTTAGCATATGTAAAAGTGTATTGATAACTTACAGTTGTAGAAAAGTCATGAACAAATTTCTCTGAAAATGCATGTTTGTTGTCACTGAGTACTTCTTGATAAAGCCCCTAGTTAGTCCTAGATATCTTTTTCTTCATTTCTAATAACCATAACCAATCACAAATATGAGAAAAGAGGGACCTATTTTTCATGCATATTATAGTATAAAAGAAGGATTTATCTGTAAAAATCCATATAGATGCCATCACTTTTTTCTCAATGTCACTTGCAGTTTAAACACTTCCTGCTTGAAAGTATGTATCTTAGAATGCTTACTTCATTGCAATATGAAAAAATGAAATATTGTTTTCCTTGATATTGTACATTTGTCTGGATTTTTCACTTGTAAATTGAAACCCTACTGTTTTACTTATTACTAACATCTTTTTCAGTCATTTAATTTATGATATTTTGGGAGCAGTGGCTCCTAGCTCTTGGTGTGTAAGCCATCCTGCACGTTTTCTCCAGATGCTGAGGGGTAACAGGGTCTTTCAGTTGCTGAACTTTAGGGGGATTCATTTGTACCTTGATAAACCTCACTTTTTAATGCAGCGTTAATCAAAGTCAGCATTGTCACCTCTGGCTTAGGAAATGCTTTGATTTTACTTTCCCGCCCAAATGTAATTTTCAAATGACTTCAGAAAAAAAAACTAACTTTATATTGAAATAAAATCTACAAGTTAAAAAGAAAGCCATCCCGTTTGCCTGAAACCCCACCTGTTCAGATCCTCTAAGGAATAGCCAAATGCAACTTTTTCCCTAAAGTCTTTGCTAGCTACCCCTTACCCCTCCTTTCCTCTCTTATGATTCTTTGCCTGTAGTAATCCTTAAGGCACATTTATTTACATTCTGTTTTAATTATCTGGATAATTTATTTCCATTCCCACTGTGAAAATATGTAGATGGCAAGGCCTTATTTATGCTATGCTACAGCTCCCTCTGCCTAGTGCTTTCTGCCTAAAATTCAATAGTATTTGAATGGATTAATACATTAGTGGATGAATCAATGAATGAATAATTATTCTGAGAAAGATTTGGTTAAATTCATTAGTCTCTTTGTATCATTTACTCTATAAAATATAGGGTTTAGAGTGAATGATTTTTAAAGTATTTGTAGCTCTCAAGTTATGTTATTCCTTCTGTGTTTTAAGAAAACATTAGAAAGTCACACAAGAAAAATCAGTTAAAAAATAATTGATTGTAGGCTTATAATTCTTAGTCCAATATAAGCAATTCAGGGTAAAAGTAGAGAAGTATAAGTTATCAACAAAAGACTAAAAATATCTACCTTTATGCAGATAATTAAAAGCAAATACCCTATAAGCCTGTTCTAATGTTCTGTGTACCCACAATGACTCCTCTGGATTAGATGGAAAGAATAGGTAGGCCCTTTTTCTTTGCTGACCATGGCTAACATCTGCAGGTTTAGTCAAACTTCCACTTCGCTAAATGGCCCTGGCCTAAGACTTGTGCACCATAAGTACTGTTTTCAATCCAATTTGGTTGACCTCTTTGGTTAACACACATATCAATCACATATCTGATATTCCAATAAGACTCTGTGGTAAGCAGTTTTGTATTTATGGGATGTTTTTTAACATGCTACTTATCAGATTAAAAACTTTTTCAAACAAATTTAAAGAATGACTTGTCAGCATTTCAGAATATTTCTCAACGTTACAAAAAAGTATATTTAAAGAATTTTATAAACCTTGAAAAAATAGAACTGAAGAAAAGAGCAAAAATGATCAAGGACGTTGTATTAGAGATAATTAGATCTGACTGCAAAGAGTAGAAAACATAACAATAGGATAAACAACATAGTAGTTTATTTCTTTTTCATGTAAGGAATATTTGGAAGTAAGCAGTCCATAACTGATAAAGTGGCCTCATGCAATTGTCAGGGAATCTATCTCTGTCTTTTGCCCATCATCACCAGTTTGTGGCATCTGTCTCTCAGTCTTGAGTGGATAATTTGAGTTTTGTTCAATTAGAAGGACACCTACTGTTTCATTAAGGATTCTTCCACATCCAGTTGGCCTGTGTACCATTCCCAGGCCTTATCTAGCTGCAGTGGAGACTGAAAAATGTAGTGTTTATTCTAGGTAGCCATGTGCCCAGCTAAAAATTATGGGTTGTATTTCTAAGGAAAAGGAGACCCTGTACAGTACCCACAGTAGATGGCTATCATTAAGAAACATTTATGTGGTGCACTTTGCTAGTCCTTGCACCAAATAACCTTATGGTATGGTTAGAGGAAACAAATCTATATGTGACAGTGTCAGAAATGTGTCTTCAATCCAGCACTCCCTTCTCCTATTCTTGTTACTGATTATTGTAAATACCACCATTCCTGTCACCTGATCTTGAATTCCTAATCTAATATCTGGCAATATACATTCTATAACTTGCTAGAAGTTGGGGGGGTTTATCTCCATATTAGAGCTTGGGTTTATTCCTTTATACACAATCTCATTTACTGGCCCTTGTTACATTTCCTATTGATTATTGCAATAATTCCATAGTGATCTCCCCTCTTCTTGTGGCTCTCCACTACATACATACAACACATTCACCATCCTGCTTACTGCTTGGTAAATTTGTCACTTCTGGTGTTTTAGAATTCTTTCATTCAGGCATTCCATTCTCCAATTGTTGACACCTCTTCTTCTTCTATTGTAGTTCCACGTAGCTACTATTTTCCAGATGTCTCCTTCCTGGGTGTCCCCAGTTGTTCAGAATGCTTAGTCTCACTATCCTTTACCAAATAAATAACATTAGTTCCAGATTCCGTGCCACATAAATTTGGAAACTCCATCACCATATCTCAAGGACTTGTGTTTTCTCTAGATGTCTCTTGTTCTGCTTTCTTTACTTCTTTGAATTTTCCAGTGCCTCTCTTCATATGGATTGGTTTTTCCATTCTTCCTGGGCATTCATCCAAATAAGGAAGAGAGTCACTTTGCTTTGGAAATTTTACTTAAGAATCTAGAGATTAAAGCTGAGAAAGGGGGGTTCTATTTTTGTCACAGCTTAGCAAATCACATGTAATTAAGGATTAGGCACGTGCTTGTTCTTCAAAGTCCCCTGGCCATACCTACCACTTCCTTCAGCCTCCTTCCCCCTTGGTCTGCCACCTCTCTTTTACCTCTCATTTTTACTCTCATTTCAGTTTCTTTCTAGTTCTGGGCTCACTTACCTTTTCCCTCTTGAATTACCTATGCAAACTCAAGATTCTTTACATTGCTATCAAAATTAATTTTTTGAACACCTACTTTGTGCTTTATGGGAAATTTCTTTTTTTTTTCCCCTCATGACATTTCAGAGAAGGCTTATATATTATCCACATTGACAGAGAAATAAACTCAGTGGGAGACATTCGTAAGATCAGATGGTTAACTAGTACCAAGATCCAGAATTTGAATCCAGGTTTGTTTCTACAAAGGTTTTATTTTTTACTTTTTATTTTATTTCATTTGTCTGTTGCATTACGCTCTCTCTTCATGATGTAATTGCAGTAGTTTTTCTAGATATGCCCTACCTGCCAAATCTCACCCATTCTTGAGTCTGTTCAAAAGTCAAAGAAAAGAGTAAACAAATTGTTGAGGAGGTTAAAGGGAAGGAAAGTTTACATCCAGTTGGAGAGATCTAAAGGAAATTCTAAAAAGAGTAGTTGCCTTTATGTCCATGTTAGTATGGACATTTTTAAGGACAATTAAGGTAGAGATATATTCTTAACATTTCATTCATAGAGTGCTAGCACTAATGGTTTAAAAACAGAAGATACTTAAGGCCTTACATTGAATTAAAAAAAAAAACATGAAGAGCAATGTAGACAAGTAAATATATTATATGAATATTGTTGCTAATGAGGGCAATATGTTTGTCATATTTAAGGGATGAAAGAAATCCAATTTGGATGGAGCATTCAGCAAAGACTTCATCAAGTATTTGATATTTAATGGGCAGAGAGGACCCAGATATATGGAGCAAAAAGCATTTGTTGGAGAAGATGTTTGCACAGAATGCCCAGTGAATAAACCTTTATAACTTGAGGAGACTGTTTATGGAGAGGAGCAGGTTCTGGTCAAATTATACATGGAGGCAGACTTCATTAGTAGACGTTGGGGAAGGCTCTTATGTAAGAATAGGACAGAATTACGCTGACAATGATACTTAGGATAAATCATTACAGAGAAGGACAAATATTAATTAATGTTTACAGAGGTTTGTTATATGCCTGGTAGTGGGCCAAGCACTTTATGGAGTATCCTGTCAGTCGTCACAATAGCCTTATGATATAAGCACTGTTGACATTTTCATATCATAGATAAAGAAACTGAGGCAGAGAGAGGTTATATTACTTACCAATATCTCAGTGCTAGAGTGTGGTAGAAGAGGGATTCAAACCCAGGCTGTGTGCTTCCAGAAGACATCACTCTTAACTACTAACACTGCAACAGTGAAGATTTTGCTGTGTCAGGGGGAGAAAAGAAGGGCTATTGATTGACTTGTTCTATATAGACGAGGAAGGTTTGTTTTAAATATTTGGTTAACACTGCTAGTGAATTGCAAATACATCATTGGTGTGCCCAAGTGCCTAGAATTATCAGGAGAAGACAATTAAATTGACACACGGTCTCTACCGAATTGCTCCAATAATAGAAATAAATATAAGAAAGGCCATGATAGGATTATAGCAGCAGATGTCAATAGAGTCGAATCTGGCTCTGGCCTCCAGCTGTTTCCTTCTTGGAGAAGATGCCTGATTGCTGAGGACTGTCGACACTCCTGTTGGCTGGCTCACATGGTAGCACTT